AAACAACTTGTTAACTTTGATTATCAAAATGTAAATTCTCTTTGCTCGCACCATCATTACGTCAACAGCTCGTGCTAGTTCAGTGTTTCTATCGAGTTATAGAAACACGATTTTTAACCAATCAGCGCGCGTATTTTCTTAGGACTATTTCCTAATAGATTACATTACACATTACATTTTTCCTGTCGCCTCGCCAGGAAGTCCAACATTTGCGTGTGGATTACGCCATCTGCAGGTCCTGTTTACAGTTGGATTTCAGGATGATTTTCTAGGTATATCAACTAGTTTTTTCAATGGAAGACGTTAACAGTGGGTGGTTAACAATATGCTGCTATTTTGCTGTTCTTAGTTAAAGTACAGATTCACTAAACTTGATTTGGTTAGAGTAGAAAAAGTTTGCTTTCATTTCAGTTGGTAACGTAGTTGATTATGTCAATGCTAACCATAGAGCGCGCGTGGCGTGTAAACCAAAACTGTTTTGGGTATAGCCACGTGTATATGGGTACTGATGTAATCTTTGCGCTCTTGAATNTTATGTCAATGCTAACCATAGAGCGCGCGTGGCGTGTAAACCAAAACTGTTTTGGGTATAGCCACGTGTATATGGGTACTGATGTAATCTTTGCGCTCTTGAATTGATGAAATAAAGCGCAGTTCTTACAAGTCTTAGCCATATCAATATATTTATATACTAATGACATGTTATCGACTATAATTCAAATAAAAGGTAATTATGAAGGATACTTCAATAATCAAGCCGGATGTGTTATGGGGGAGGTTAAGAAAATATCTTCATTTTTCATTATTAAGACAAAGTGGTATCTGCAGGTGACCCTAACAAGTGAAAGAACATAAAGTGCAACCGTTTTCTTTCAAAAGCTTTGTGCTGAGATATGTGGCCAATGCTTTTCTTTCTGTATTTAGTCACATTTTATTTTTAATTACTTCTTAAACGTAACAGTTAGGAAAACATAATGCAATCGAAATATTATTCTAAAACAAATCATAGGCCCATCGATAATCAACTTTCCAGAACAAACATAACTGACAGATGGCGGAATTACAAAGCGGAAATGCCAAAAAGGTCGGGCTATTATCAAAGGTTAGTACAGAGGCCATTAATACGTCATCAGCGACATGTAAAATTGTTAACCCGTTATTTAACTACTAGCAGTGGGTTTTTCTCACTTTTAAGCTTCGTGTTCACAACAAGATTTAATTCTTTCATCGTTGCTAGACCAATGGCGAACATTAATACCGGAGATGCAAACTGCACAAGCAAACTGAACTAAGCACTGAGTCCAGCACCACCTGGCATACGTGAATTGTTCTCGGCTTTGATTATTTTTGTTTCCATCAGCGCATCATTGAGCAATGTTGTGATTCTTATTGCTCCTCATAAAGTCTCTTCTATTTATCCCCCGACGAAACTTTTCTTTCGATGTCTGGCGGTCACTGACCTTTGTGTTGGTCTTATTGTACAACCACTCTTTGTAACTCTCATTATGTCTCCTCTGATAAAGATGAACGTTCAAGGTTTTTTCTATGTTCACCGAGTACGTCACACTTTAAGCTGGATTTCGTGTGGAGTATCTGTCTTGACGTCTACCGCAATTAGTGTGGACAGACTCCTCGCCCTGTTGTTAGGACTGAGATACAGACATGTCGTAATATTAAGGCGAGTTCGTGTAGTTATAATTTGTATTTGGTTAATTGGTGTTTTAGATGGATGGACTCGAATGCGGAGAATTGATTTTGCTTACAACGGAACCGTTGTTATTTTGACACTTTCTCTAGTTACAGCGATTTTCATCTACACGAAGAAGCACCTAAAACTACGACATCAACGAGCCCAGCTATATACTAACGTCCCTGAAGGCCCGATCGCAAACGGAGGAGGGATTCCACTGAATAAAGCACGATAGTTTCTAGCATATTGTAGGTGCATTAGGCTTTAGTTACCTGTTATCTTCCGTTGGGCGTTGTAATCGCGCTATCTGGAAATTGAATAAGTTACGTGGCTTTGAGAGCCATGGAGACTCTCGTCTACCTAAACTCATCCCTAAACTCGATCCTGTATTGTTGGAAGATCCGAAAAGTAAGACACAATCAGACAGTTTTACTGTTTTTAAGAGACTAATTTGTTCCTTGCAGCTCCAAATCGTTACCTTGTTCAGATCCAGTCTGGCTGGTTTAATTGGTAAATTGAACGCAACATTTATAATTTAAGTTTTTCAACAAATAGGTGACTTAGCCTGGCAGGCATACGAATTGTTGCTTCCACTGCAGGGGAAGCTGCCCATCCGGCGCTGCTTGTCTGCAATACTTACAGTCAGGTTTCTTGAACTAAAGATGACAAATGGGAGTGCCCATTTATACACCAGAGGACAAAGAGTCACTGTGAGATCATAGCACTCTTTCTGCAAAACAACATGACACGAAAGAACTCAACCAAACACCACTGGACAAGACGACAAACAAAAGGACAGGGGCTACTTTCAAAGGCGCTAACAATCAAAACATGGAACTTCAATGACTAGGCCTTGAACTTAGCACAATAATATGTTTCAGTCGAAAGCGTTTTTTGTAACCGAACCTGTTGGTATTAGACATTAAAGGAACTTTCTTTCCGAAGGACGCAATGTTTAGCCTGAAATATATTGAAAAATTAACTTAAACTTAAACAAGTTTTGACTTTCTCGGAAGGTACTGTGTCCTGAAGAGGCTGTTAACTTAACTTAACAGACGATAATTTGCCCTCAATTCCTCTAGTGAAAATCACTGAAATAAACTCGTGTAACTTTTGTGGGGTTAACAATGTGTGAAAACGTACTGATGTTGGCCCGTCATTTGTACTCAGGCCTCCTCAGATTAAACGGCTTCCCAGATTCGGTTAGTTGTTGTTAACCTCGAGGTAGAATAAAGTAGGTTTACTATTCGTTTCTGCCTCCTGTTGTTCTGTGGCTATCACGCCAGCCACCACTGATACAGTTATTGCTCTCTTGAATTGCTGAAATGAAGCTGATTAAACGGATAACGAAAAGAATATTTCTGATCAACAGTCAAGCCGGAGGTATTAAAGAAAACATTACAAAAATACCTTTATTTTCAATTATTAATTAAGATATGAAGTATATATCAGTAAAGTATCTGCAGCTCTTAAATGTTTCTCAGCGTAAAGCGCGACTGTTCTTTTCCTAAAGCTTTGTATTAAAATATTTAATAACCGATGCTATTCTTTCGGTTTTTAAAGTAACTTCTACAAAAAAATTAATGCAATCGAAATGTGGCACACCAAAGCAAATCATGGGCACTTCGATAATTAACTTTTCAGAAGAAACGTCACTGTGAGTTAAGAATAATTGGCAAATGGGGGCATTTGAAAGCGGAAATGCCAAAAAGCTCGGGCTTTTTTAACAGGTTAGTACATAGTCCATTAACGATACGTCATCAGTGACATATAAAATTATCAACCCGTTATTAGTTACAAGCTGGAGGCTTTTCTCACTTTTAAGCGTCGACTTCACAGCAAGATTTAATTTTCTCACCGTCACAAGACCAATGGCGAACATTCTCAGTTGAACTTGCATAAATTAACATTTCGTCCGTCTGTACTCTTACTGATGATAAAAATGAGCCACTCAGCGCACGAGAAATTAAACAGTTATTATAAAAAATTGGATTTCAGTATGATTTACTACGTATCAGTTATTATAAAAAAATGGATTTCAGTATGATTTACTACGTATCAGTTATTATAAAAAATTGGATTTCAGTATGATTTACTACGTATAACAACTAGTTTTTAGATGGAGGATGTTAACAGTGGGTGGTTAACGATATGCTGCTATTCTGCTGTTCCTGCTTAAAGTACAGATTCACTAAACCTGATTTGGCAACAGTCGGAAAAGTTTGCTTTCATTTAATTTAGTCGCGTACTTTGTAACGTAGTTGATTATGTCAATGCCAACCCTAGCGCGCGCGCGATGTGTAACCCAAAAATGTTTTGGGTATAGCCACGTGTATATGGGTACTGATGTAATTTTTGCGCTCTTGAATTGATGAAATAAAGCGCAGTTCCGTACGTACCGTATGGCGTCTTATCGCCTGTAATTCAAACAAAAGTAATTATGAAGGATACCTCAATAACCAAGCTTAAACCGGATGTGTTATGGGGGAGGTTAAGAAAATATCTTCATTTTTCATTATTAAGACAAAGTGGTATCTGCAGCTGACCTTAACAAGTGACAGAACTTAAAGCGCAATCGTTTATTTTTAATTACTTCTTAAACGTAACAGTTAGGAAAAGATAATGCAGTCTAAATATCATTCTAAAGTAAATCGTAGGCACATCGATAATGAACTTTCCAGAACAAACATGCATTTGCAGCTTCACTGTAAGTGAAAAANGTGGATAACGATATGCTGCTATTCTGCTGTTCCTGCTTAAAGTACAGATTCACTAAACTTGATTTTGCAACAGTCGGAAAAGTTTGCTTTCATTTTAGTCGCGTACTTTGTAACGTAGTTGATTATGTCAATGCCAACCCTAGCGCGCGTGCGATGTGTAAACCACACATGTTTTGGGTATAGCCACAAGTAAATGGGTACTGATGTAATTTTGTCGCTCTTGAATTGATGAAATAAAGCGCAGTTCTTAGACGTCTTAGCCCAGTCAATATATTTACATACCGTATGACGTCTTATCGACTATAATTCAAATAAAAGTAATTATGAAGGATACTTCAATAACCAAGCTTAAGCCGGATGTGTTATGGGGGAGGTTAAGAAAGTATCTTCATTTTTCATTATTAAGACAATGTGGTATCTGCAGCTGACCTTAACAAGTGACAGAACTTAAAGCGCAACCGTTTTCTTCCAAAAGCTTTGTGCTAAGATATGTGGCAAATGCTTTTCTTTCTGTATTTAGTCACATTTTATTTTTAATTACTTCTTAAACGTAACAGTTAGGAAAACATAATGCAGTCGAAATATCATTCTAAAGTAAATCGTAGGCACATCGATAATGAACTTTCCAGAACAAACATGCATTTGCAGCTTCACTGTAAGTGAAAAATAATTGACAGACGGCGGCATTACAAAGCGGAAGTGTCAAAAAGCTCGGGTTATTATCAAAGGTTAGTACACAGTCCATTAACAACCCGTTATTTAGCTACAGAACGAGGTTTTTCTCACTTTTAAGCTTCGTTTTCACAACAAAATTGAATTCTTTCATCGTTGCTAGACCAATGGCCAACATTACTGGAGATACAAACTTCACAAGCAAACTGAACCAAGCACTGAGCTCAGCACCAACTGGCATGCGTGAATTGTTCTCAGCTTTGAACATTTTTCTATCCATCACCGCATCTCTGGGCAATGTTGCGATCCTTATTGCTCTTCATAAAGTCACTTCTATTCATCTTCCGACGAAACTTTTCTTTCGATGTCTGGCGGTCACTGATCTTTGTGTTGGTCTCATTGTGCAACCACTCTCTCTAACCCTAATTATGTCTCCTTTGATAAGGATGAACGTTCAAGGTTTTTTCTACATTCGCCGAGTACGTAACTTTTTAGGCTGGATTTTGTGTGGAGTATCTATCTTGACATCAGCCGCTATTAGTGTGGACAGACTTCTCGCCCTGTTGTTGGGACTGAGATACAGACACGTCGTAACATTAAGGCGAGTACGTGTTACTATAATTTGTTTTTGGTTAATTGGCGCTTTAGCTGGATGGACTCGGGTGCAAAGAGCTTACAAGGGAACCTTTGCTATTTTGACACTTTCTCTAGTTGCCACGATTTTCTGTTACACGACGATCCACCTCAAACTACGACATCAACAAGCTCAGCTACATAACAATGTCCCTCAAGGCCCGATCGCAATCGGAGGAGGGACTCCACTGAATATAGCAAGATACAAAAGGTCACTTTCTAGCATATTGTCGGTGCAGCTGGCTTTAGTTGTCTGCTATGCTCCGTTTGGCATTGCGCTCATGCTATCTGCAAATAGAATAAACTTCGTAGCTTGGAGAGCAACGGAGACTCTAGTCTACCTAAACTCGTCTCTAAACCCAGTCCTGTATTGCTGGAAGATCCGAGAAGTAAAACAAGCAGCAGGAGACACTATTAGACAGCTTTCCTGTTTTTAACAGCTAAATTTACATTTATTCCTAGTAACACCAAAAATTACCTTTTTCAAATTCTTTGTGGTTAGTTTGGTAAATTAAATACTATATTTATTGTGTCGATATTTCGTAGCATAGTTAATTAGCATTCGGTGCGTGTGAATACTCTGCCTGATATGTACCCGATTGTACATATTTAGTTATAAGTTGTCTGTAATTTATGCGTGTGTCAGTTGCATCCGATCTTGGCTGCTATCAAGATGTCTTCGAGGAGTTCAAAGTTATTTAACGTTACATTTATAATGCTAGTTTTTTAAAAAAAATATGACTTGTCCGTTTGAACTCATATTTCATTAACTTTTAAAAGCTATGCTAGGTCCTCGGTTAAAAGAGCAGAAGTCAGAAGTGCTGGACAACAGGAAAAACAGAGAACTACAGGCAAACGTGTTTTTTTCTTATGTCTGGAGTTCGACCGTGATGGACAGACTATGTCAAAATAAAATTTGACCACTGTTACTTTTTAGTTCCTGGAGAACGGCTTGCCTGAAGAATAGGATCGTTAAGTTGTCCGCGGGCTTTTACACTCTCTCTTTACTGCCTTAACTTGCGGGAGCAATCCGTAATCTAGGATAAAGAAAGCAACCCATGTGCTATCTAACATTAGCATGAAGTTTGAAAAGGAATATTTGGAGACAACGGAAGTAAAATGAGCTGGAAGAGAAACGATTTAGAGTTTTATAGATAAACTTCTGTGGGATAATCGACTTTGTCTCTGTGGGAAAGGGAATTTTGATTGTAAGATCGCGAAAAAAGGAAAAAAACCTCTCAAAAATGACAAAAAGGTCTATACAATACAAACAGAAAAGACCAAGGGTCTGTATTTTCCTGGTAAGATCCCGAGTAAGCTTGGTTAAAAAGAGATTTAGCGGTGACATGACCGAAAATATTTAGGAACAAATTCCACGATCACGGACTGAAAGAGCGGCCATAAACTTTCACCGCAAAATTCTGAGATTCGATTCATCATTCACTCACCTTTGAAGTATCAGGGAATAAAAGAGGACAAGAGAACTGGAAGAAAAGGAACAAGACTGTTACGGGTAGTTCATTCTTTTGGTAAACTGAGTAAACCACAAAACAACCGAAAACATCGTCAAAAGTGGAGGCGAGTGATCATTCAGAACAACGCCCGGTTCAATATTTAGAAAATATTTGACCGGCAATGATGCAATCTGATTGGTTATAATAAATCTATATGGGTAGTAATCAAAGATTATGAGTGCGTTCGACGCCGTCACTTTAAAATGTATACCTTAAATGATTTCACTAACTGACTATTGCTACCGGATAAAGACTGAGCTATCTGAGGTCGCGACTGGAAGTAATCAACGAATGCAATCAAACTATAGCCAATAAAATATAGCTGTTCCCATGGTTAACATCCCAAAGCCAAGGCGATTCAAAGTTGTGTTCGTGGACGTATAAAATAAACTATAAACCACACGGTAGTCTCTAGCTTTAGAAATCCGCTTTATAATGCTCAGACTTGCTCAGACTACTACGGAAACCACGAGCTGCGCGACAGTCTTTACGCATTGACGTATGACGTCATTCAAAACTGCGCAGAAAAAGCAGACGTTTGACGAAAAAGTCTCAAAAGAAGTCACCCTTGAAACCACAGGAAACCCAAGATTATGAACTGCGTTCTGCGAACCGCATTTTTACAGGGAAATCGATATTTCTAAGGAAACAATTAACAAAATATAAACAGTATGTCTCCTGTTTTCGCTATTTCTACATTGTGCTATATCACTATGTAACTTGACGTCGATCTATACAGCTAATTGCTTAAAAAACAGTTAAGCTGTCTGATTGTGTATTTCACTCCTTGTCTAACTTCTCTGATCTTCCAACAATACAGGATCGGGTTTAGAGTTTAGTTTAAATAGACTAGAGTCTCCGCAGCTATCCAAGCCATGCCATTTTCTATTCCATTTAAATATAGAACAACGACAGTGCGCCAAGGAACATAGAAAGCAACCAATACCAGTTGCACCCACTAAATGATAGAAACTGACTTTTTGTATCCTGCTATGTTCATTGGTATACCTCCTCCCTTCTCTTCTCCTCGAGGAACATGATTTTGTACATGAGCTTGTTGATATCGTAGTTTGAGATGGATCTTCGTGTGACAGAAAATCGCTATTAACAGGGAAAACATGAAGAGACTAGACAGTGCCATCAAGAGGGTATCTCTGCTCCAAATCCGGATCGTTCCAGCTGATGAAGCACTAACTATCTAAAAACAAATTGTAACCACACGAACACGCCTTAATATTACAAAAGTCTGTAGCTCAGTCCCAGCAACAGGGCGAGAAGTCTGTCCACAGTAATTGCGGGATCGATCCCGATACTGCACCCAAAATCAAACTCGAAGTGCGATTCACTATGTAAAAACTGTGCAAGACATTCACGTTCATCTTTGTCATACGAAACAAAAACTCGGTTACAAGGAGTGGTTATACCACAAGTCTAATGCAGACATCGTTTACCGCCGGCCAGACATCGAAAGAAAAGATTCGTCAGAGGATAAATAGAAGAGACTTTGTGGAGAGATAGAAAAATGTTCAAAGCTGAAAAAACTCAATCGTGCCCGCTGGTGGTGAGCTGAGTGCTTGGTTCAGTTCGCTTGTGAAGTTTCCATCTCCAGTAATGTTCGCCATTGTTCTTGGATGGTCAGAAAATTGACGTTGCTGTGACTGAGTGCTGTTAGTTGACTAAAAGCCTCGGTCAGCTTGTCGTTTAACGTCGAGCTGAGAATTCAATATTTCACTGATAACACATCCAGTTTCCAATTATGACTGTTGTACACGACTGTTCCTTTATTTTTAGTTGTTAATAGCCCGGTTTTTATTGGTTTATTTATTTGCCCTTTTGTTTATCCTTTGAAGAGAAAGATTTATCAGTTGCAATTGCTTGGGTCTATTAGTCAATATTGTTCTTAGTATACTCAAAGATTAAAAATAAAGCTCGCCGGTTGGTGCGTTCAGGTGTAAAAATATATTCTTATTATGCTTGCAGCCTAATGGGTCCATAATAGCAGAATGATGATTACATATGACCCTGATAGCACTTCCGTGTAGCACTAGAATTTTCTAAGTTGAATGGACCTTGAAATCTCCCCATTTGCCTATTTTCTTTAAATTCTGAAATATCATTTATGGTGAAAAGAATCTGATCTCAGTTTTTCATGAATCACCTCGCTTACCAATAAAAAGAAAAATAAATAAAATTTGCTATTTTGTCCGTCCTGTAAAGCAATTAATGCTGTAAAAACTCAAAACAATGGCATCTGTTGCATATATTTTTTAACTCTTGGTTGAAGAAAAGGATGGACAGGCGTGTTTTAACCTTTCATGTTCTGCCGTTATCTAAACATGGCGCGCA